AGATAATGACAGTTTAACTTCTTCCTTTCCTATCTTTATTGCTTTAATTTCTTTCTCTTGTCTAATTGCTATGGCTAATGTTTCCAGAACTATATCGAAGAGGAATGGTGATAGTGGGCATCCTTGTCTTAAGGTTTTCAGTTTTTGGCCATTTAATATGAAGTTGGCTGTTGGTTTTTCATAGATAGCCTTTATTAAGTTGAGATATAGACCATCTATTCCAATTTTTTGCAGGGTTTTTATCATGAATGTGTGTTGAATTTTGTCAAATGCTTTTTCTGCATCTATTGAGAGGATCATGTGGTTCTTGTCCTTGACTTTGTTAATATCGTGTATTATATTTATTGATTTACATATGTTGAACCATCCTTGCATCCGTGGAATATACCCGACTTGGTCAGGATGTATGATCTTCTTGATGATCCTCTGTATTCTGTTTGCTAGTATCTTATTAAGGATTTTTGCATCTATATTCATTGAGGAGATTGGCCTGGAGTTCTCTTTTTTTTGTTGTGTCTTTCCCTGGTTTGGGAATCAAAGTGATACTTGCTTCCAGGAATGAATTTGGAAGTAGTTCTTCCCTTTCAATTTCATTGAAAAGTTTGAAGAGTAATGGCAGTAGTTCTTCTCTAAATGTCTTGTAAAATTCAGCAGTGAGTCATCAGGACCTGGGCTTTTCTTTGTTGGTAAATTTTTAATTACATTTTCAATTTTACTGATTGTAATTGGGATATTTAAAATGTTTTTATCTTCTTTGTTCAACTCTGTTAATTCATAAGTATCTAGAAATCTGTCCATTTCTTCTCTGTTTTCCATTTTGTTAGAGTACAGGTTCTCAAAGTAGGTATTGACTATCCTCTGGATTTCTGTTGGATCTGTTGTGACTTCACCTTTTTCATTCCTAATTGCATGGATCTGAGCCTTTTCTTTCCTTTTTTTGATAAGGTTAGTTAAGGGTTTATCAATTTTATTTATTCTTTCAAAAAACCAACACTTCGATTCATTTATTTTTGTATCATTTTCTTAGTTTCCATTGCATTGATTTCTGTTCTAATCTTTATGATTTCCTCTCTTGTTCGAGCTTTGGATTTTTCTTGCTCTTGTTTTTTTAGGCACCTAAGATTCATCATTAGTTGTTTATTTGAGCTTGCTCTGTTTTCCTAGTGTGAGCATTCAGTGCTATGAATTTTTCATGTAGAACTGCTTTCACTGTATCCCATAGATTCATGTATGTTGTATTGGCATTTTCATTTATTTATAAAAACTGTCTGATTTCTTCTTTAATTTCCTCTGTGATCCATTGATTGTTTAGGAGAGTGTTGTTCAATTTCCATGTGTTTGTGAAGTTCCTACGGTTTCTTGTGCTATTGATCTCCAGTTTGATTGCACTGTGATCTGATAATATACAGGGAATAACTTCAATTCTTTTGCATTTATTCAAACCTGTTCTTTGAGCTAGTATGTGGTCTGTCTTGGAGAATGACCCATGTGCAGCTGAAAAGAATGTATATTCTGATTTTGTGGGGTGGAACACTCTATAGACATCTATTAAGGCCATGTATTCAAACGCTTGGTTCAGTTCTAGTAGTTCGTTGTTGATTTTTTTGCCTAGATGATCTGTCTATTTGTGAAAGTGGGGTATTTAGATACCCCACTACAATTGTATTAGTGCTTATTTGGTTTTTCATGTTTCTTAATATATGTTTTATATAGTTGGGGTCATTAATATTTGGTGCATATATGTTTATGATTGTCATCACTTCCTGTTTTATTGTTACCTTTAAAAGGATGCAGTGGCTTTCTTTGTCTCTTTTAATCAGTTTTGATTTAAAATTTACTTTGTCTGCGAAGAAGATTGCTACCCACCTTTTTTCTGGGCTCCTGTTTTATGGAGAATTGTTTTCCACCCTTTCACTTTCAGTCTATGGGCTTCTTTTTGCACTAGGTGTGTTTCTTGTATATAACATATTGTTGGATTTTGCTTCTTAATCCATTCTGCCAGTCTTTTTCTCTTGATTGGTGAGTTGAGGCCATTAACATTGATGGTTACAACTGATATATACTGACTTATTATTGTCATGTTAGTGACCTTTTGTTGACTCTTTTTACTTTTTCCATCTTCTCCTTTTAGTTTCTTGCCTTGCCTATTTAATTTGCTCTTTTGGGCCTCATTGTGTTGTTACCTTCATTGTCTTTTTCTAGGATATTGTTTAGAATTCCTTGTAGTGCTGGTTTGGTATTCATGAAGTTTCTCAGATGTTCTTTGTCATGGAAGTATCTTATTTCCCCATCCATTTTGAAAGAGAATTTTGCAGGATATATCAGTCTAGGTTGGAGGTTGTTTTCTTTTAGGACTTGAAACACTTCACTCCAGGCTCTCCTTGACCTAAACGTTTGTGTTGGAAAGTCTGCTGTGATTCTGACGGGCTTTCCTTCCAGTGTGATTTGTTTCTTTTCTCTTACTGCTTGTAATATTTTGTTGTTTACTTGAGTCGTAAGAAAATGTGAGGTAGCTTCCTTCTCCTGGAAGAGATTTTTAATCACTTGCTTCACCTATAAATGATCTAAAACTGACAAGAGATAATAGCATAGACATCTACTGATTTTATGTAACGTATGTAGAGCCTGCCATGTATAAAGTGAAGTGCAGTGCATTGTAGAGAATATACAGCAGTTTCTGCCCTGATATATCTTACTCCGTAAGAATTAGTAGCAAATAAGAGCATGAAACTTGCTCTCAGACCCTGTAAATATTTTGTAAAATTTAGCTTTCAATCTCATCCTAAGGAATACACAGATTACGCTTCCATTCTGATGGAGTGGGTAATGAAGACTGAGAATTCAAATTATTTCATCAAGGCTGTACAGCAAGAATCATACTGAGCTGGGATTTGAACAGTAATCTAAGATTTGGACAAATAGTAAGGTAGAATGAGACATGCATTTATAGAGGCATAATGGGCTTAATGCCCATTGAAATATCTTTAGCTTAGGAATAGTTAAGGAAAGCTTTGTGAAAGAGGCTGCATTTGAACAAGTTAAGAGTAAGATTTTAGCAGGTGGCTACTGGCAAGGGCAAGTAAGGGAGGAATAGAACTAGGATTGAATCCTTTCCATTCAGAAGTTAAAATGTATATTCTTTCCATTACACTAAACTAAAGCAGTGAGAGTATATGCATAAAGGCAGTATGACTGAAAGGGATGCATTAGTCTGAGTTATAGAAAAAAGGCTGGAAAGGAAGGCCAAGGTGAGAACACTGAAGACCTTCAGTGGAGGTACAAGAAGTCCTAGGATATAGAGGAGATCATTCTAAACACCACAATTACCCATGAAGATTACATTTTTTTCCCTTTCCTTGGTAATTCTTATCTCAGAACTAGTATTTCAGAGGGTCCAGGGGATTGAGTGGTAATAAAACAAAATGTAAGTGTGTGGGGCTACAAAGCAGGAGAACTGGAAAATACTTATGGTGGGAATCAATATTTTCTTTGATGTATTTATTTTTAGACCAGACCATTTTTCAATATGAAACCTCTATCAGAGGCTGATAAAAAACGAGCAAGAAACCAGTCAATTCCACGACTAGCTGACTTATTGACACTTGCAAAGAAGGAACAAAAATTTGTGATATTTGATCTTTTTGGACCTCCACATAAACATCCTCTCAGACACACATTTGTCCGTCAGGTAGTAAGCGTGATCCTTGCTTCTAAAATTGAACAACATCTGGTATGTGTGTCTTAATATTTATGGTTGAGATTGGGAGGTATGGGTAGTGTGTCCCCAAAGCACAGTAGTTGAATTCAACGTATCTTTTCAATCTTAAATTCTTAAATAATTTTGCTTCTGATGGGAATTAAGATTATATATTTTAAAATTTTTTTTTCTGGTACCGGGGATCGACCTCAGGACCTTGCGCTTTTGAGGATGTGTGGTGCCACTGTGCTAAATCCCCAGCCCAAGATTATATATTTTTTGAGACAGGGTCTTGCTATGTGGTTCAGGCTGGCTTTGAAGTCTCTACATAGCCTGGGTTAGCCTCAAATTCATGGTGAACCTACTTCCTCAGCCTCCCGTGTGCTGGGATTGTAGGCGTGCACCACCACGCCCAGCTTCAAGATTATTTTGTATATTCCTACATGTGATTATCTGAGAATGCCCAGTTGAATTTATCTCAGTGGGGGAAAACATTGAGATTGTCTGCTATTTTTGAAATATCTGCACCTTGCTGAAGAGGACTATGTGTAATTACTGTGTAATATGACCTGCAGCATCATCAACACAGTTCTGTTAGAGCTACTAAAGCTTTGGGGATTAGCGTTGATGAGTGATATGGAAAGACAACTGGGTCTGATTCGAGATTTGCTTGTCATGTTTTTCAGAACCAACACTCTATATTTAAGTTGTCAATTGTTCCAATCACTTAAATTCTCAGAATATGAGTTCTGTTAGTGAACAAATATATGTATATGTTTTAACAAATAGAACTATTGCCACAGATGATTAATTACAGGAACCCCAGTGGTAGGAAATAACTCATTTTAAAGATTATTTTTAGCATTAACCAGACATGTTTTTATCCACATCTACCAACTTTACCAACCTTTTATCATTTTTGTTTTTTGACTGGTGATTGAGACCAGGGTTTTGTGCATGGTAGACAAGTGCTGTACCACTGAGTTTCATCACCAGTCTCCATCCCCAGTGGGGTCTTTCCCATGATGTTAACTCATGAATAGAGAGGTCCTGGGAAAACTCAGTTTCAAGGAAGTGCTGGTTCTCATTTTTAAGAGTTCATTAGACAATATTAGGCCAGATTGACTGTTTCACCAAGGGCTACAATCTTCTTCTGCTTCTTATAGATTACTACCAGTTCTAAAATGAAGCTTCATCCATTCTTTATGGGGCTATTTATAACTACAGTTCATTAACCACTAAAGGATTTCCTGTTTCTACTTGCAGATTTTTTGGTTGCCAGGTCATGATAGGCAGTATGTCAGGTTCATGGCCCCTGGTTTTCAGCATGTGGGCCGTTTAGTCTCTGTTGATATCCTTACAAAAGAAAATATCAGTATAATAAATGTGGACTACAAGAGGTTATTCTACAATGGGTTGAGGTAAGTGACCATACTTCTCTTGGCATATTCCCCTTGCATGTATAAAACATACATATCCCCTAAGCTATTTAATTTCCTCTTCTCATTTTAGGATTTCTTTGTGTGATTATCTTTTTTAATCCTGCTTTCTCCTCACCTCTCCATCCTTTCCTCTACTAACAAATTGTAGACTCCCCCGCCCCAAGAAGATAGATTTGAGCTCCTCTTTTGTGCTATAATCTGTCATCATACAACACAATTTAAAAAAATTATTAGTACATGTTTGCAGGACATAATGGTGGGTTGTTGTTTTTTTTTTGTACTTGGTATTGAACTCAGGACCTTGTGCTTGCAAGGCAGATGGCGGAACCACTGAGCTAACTCCCCAGCCCTGCAGGACATAATGATTGGATTCATTGTAGGAGGTGGTACATGATATAATGCATCTCATTTTTTATTAATCTCCTACCCCTCTTCTCAACCCACCTCCATGCATATCTTGGTTCTCTTCCCTTATGCAAAAGTTCTATCACCCTATTTCCTACTATCTTTTTGTTGTTGTTTCTCTCATTGAGATTATCGGTACATTTTAGGTATACAGTAAAGTTACATTCATTTTTGGGATCTTGTACCTTTACATGACAGGTCTTGCTTCTCATTTTTTCCCCTTGTCCCTGCCCTCCCTTCACCCCCTCCTCCCCTCCAAATTTACAAACACTTTATTTCCCTTTTTTCATTTTCTCATATTCTTTTCTTTTCCCTTGTGCTCTTTCCCCTACCCTTGCCACTTTCCCTACATCTTTAGCCCTTTTCTTCCTATTTCACAATGTCAGTTATCTCATTAGGATCTTATGCACTATTATAGTTTTTCACACCAGAGAAACTATTCGGTATTTACATATGTGTGATTTATTTATTTCACTTAGGAATATATCCTCAGTATGTATCCATTTTCCTATGAATGAATCTAATTTCTCATTCTTTATGGCCGAGTAGTATTCCATTTTATAGAAAAACCACCTCTTTATCCATTCTCCAGCTGATGGGCAAATGGGCTGTTTCCAAGTTTTAGCTATTAAAAACTTCCTACTATCTTTTATTTGGTTCTATAATTTATTTATAGTTTGGGTTACTCATAAGAAATCCATTTTCCTACAAATGACTGAAGGTTAGCTTTCTTTATAGTAAAGTATTACTCCATTCTAAGTAAATACCACATTTTCTTGATCTTTTCATCTATTGATGGACATATATGTCTCTTCCAAGATACAGCTATTATGAATTATGCTGCTATAAACATTGGTATGCAAGTATCACATATCTTTTTTTTTAAATATGGAACGCTTTGTGAATTTGCATGTTATCCTTGCACAGGGGCCATGCTAATGTTCTATGTATTGTTCCAATTTTCGTATATGTGCTGCCAAAGTGAGCACTAATATATCTTTAATGTAATATTTCTTTAACTCTTTCTCAACTATACCTAGAAGGGGAATAGCTGGGTTGAATTTATGGAATTTATAGTTTTAGTTTTTTGAGGAATCTCCATACTGATTTCCATGGTGGTTGTACTAATTCACATTACCACCAAGAGTACAGAAGGGTTCTCTTTTCACTACATCCTCACCAATGTTTGTTGTTTTTTGATTCTTAAGTTTTTATATATTACATACATATATATATATATATATATATAGTATATATATTTTATATAGTTATTTTTTGAGTTTTGGCTTCAAAGGCTCAAAGAAGTAACTTTTTACTATTGTTTCCTAATTTTAAAAACTTTGTCATTAGGTGATCTGTAGAATTGTATTAGAGACAGTTCTTACACACTGAGTAACTGCCACCACTCCCTGAAAAGGATTATTATTCATAAGTTTATAACTCAGGCTAAGAGAATGCCATGCTAGTGTATGGAAGAGCTAGGATTCAAACACAGGCTTGCACAGAGCAGTTTCCAACCTGACATATTTTGTCAGGGTTAAAAAAAATTGAAAGCACTTACATGGTATTTTTCTTTTTTGTGTGTGGGAATTGAATCCCTGAAAGTAGCAACTTGACTAGAATTACTAGATGTATTCCTTCACTTATTTTCTTCCTGTTCTACAGCCTTGGGAAAAAAATTGGGTTTTATTCACCGGACTCAGTTCTTGTAAAAATTATTTATATTTAAAATTTAGCATGTTCACTGCAATGGTATTTATTTTATACCTTCAACTAATATTTGGGAGCTAGGTCTTGTACTAGGTCTGCATATACAAGAGATGAGTAAGACACAATTTCTGCTTTAAGTTACTTACAGTCATGTATAAGGATAATGATAGGTGAACAGATTATTAACAGGTTCTAAGTTCTTGGATGCAAGTAAAGGCAGGTGCTACGGTAGCAGGTCAGAGGAAGCCCATCTGAGCTTGAAAAGGCCAAGGCTGTATTAAGGAGTCAGGGACTGTGCATATTGGGTTTTTTAAAAAAAATTGCCTTGGAAATTTGCAAATGCTACAAACAGAGCCTCCCCCTCCTCATTCTTTTCCCCCTTCCTTTCTTCCTGCCTTATTTCCTTCCTTCCTTCTTTTTCATTTCCTTTCCATTTTTTCCTCTTCTCCTCCTCTCTCTCTCCTCTCCATCTCTCTTCTCTTTCATTAAATTCTCCACAGGACATGTAGTTCACCAGCTCACCACTGTTGCTACAGAAGCAGAGTCACTAAATTCAACCCTTCACCTCACAGCGTGAGCCCTCCCTTTCTGTCACCATGAATTACAGAGTGTCCCTGGATCAGTGCCTCCTGATGATTCAGGCATCGACCTTTCACAAACATGGTGGCTCTTCCCCGTGTAGATGTTGAGAGCAAAAGTGGGTCTAAATCCCCTGTGAGTTCTGTTTTTTTCCAGGGATTATAAAGCAGCTAACATCTATATCAACTTATACCTTGTCAATGAGCCTTGGATTTTCTCACTGGCCTGGTGCTCCAGAATTAACTCAGTGACAACAGACAACATTCCAGTCCTGAGTCAGCTCACTCACCCCCACTTCTTCATGGTGAGCTGCTTGTCCATATTGTTCTTCTAAGCCTGCTCTAACGGAGGTCTGTGTGCTCCACCCCTGTGCTATCCACTGCATAGTTTCCTGGGGAGCTATGTAAGAGCAGAGACTTCCATGATACTGGAAATATGGCGTTCTCCATTTTTTCACCCAAGTCCTTCTATGATTTTCATTTATTGAACAATAACAGTTTATATTACTGCTGTATGTAATTTAGTCCCCTGACTTGGCTACTATTATTACCTCCATGAGGAAACTGAATCTCAGTCTTCTATGATTTTCATTTATTGAACAATAACAGTTTATATTACTGCTGTATGTAATTTAGTCCCGACTTGGCTACTGTTATTACCTCCATGAGGAAACTGAATCTCAACAATGTCTTTGTGCATGATCACACGAGGTAAGATTCAGAATGAGGTCTGACTCCAGAGTTGTGTTATTGCAGCCCTGTATACCTAGAGGCACAACCACAATGGACAATGACATGTGGTGTGGGAAGAAAACTAAGTGTACTTGACTGTGTGGTCAAAACTGTGCCTTGGATAAATGCTCTCGTAGAGGACAGCTAATGTCTAGTTGCCTGGCCTGGTTTTCTGTTCTATCCCTTCCTCATTGCTAGAGGACCGAGGATCTGAAGACATGGTTACAATCTCAACTAAATTTCATCACTTATTACCTGTGGAAGGAGCCTTGGCCTGTGTTACTTATCTGTATGGCGTATTCTGTAGTATGTATCTGTATGGTTTACTGAGTAGGGCAAAATAGCATACAGCAGAAAATGGGTTTTTCTGTTCATTTGTTTTGTTTTAAAAGACAGGATATCATTATGTTGTCCAGGCTGCCCTTGAACTCTTTGGTTCAATGATCCTTCTGCCTCAGCCTTCCAAGTAGTTGGGACTACATGCCACCATAGGCAGCTAGAAAACAGTTTAATTTTACTCCACTGGAAGTTAAAACTTAGGCAGTGAAGCCTGTGATGGAGGGGGTTCAGGCTGTCCTCTCCACACCTTCACTCTCTCACTGGTCCCCGTTTCTGACCTGTTTAGGGTCTGGGACCAGGAGACACAGGACCAGGTCAGGCACATAATCTTGTGGGGCCAGCACTGTATTATTTCTAATGGAAATATGGAGTTGCTGGCTCCTTTCTCTGGTGACTTTCTGGAAGTAACTATGAAGGGAGATTTGGGTGACAGATTCCTCAGCACAGGGGAAGTTTTTCCACCTGTCTGACCCCATACAACTTTCCTTAATATATATAACATATTTGTATAATGTTTTTGTTTTTTAGGGTTGATTACAAAAGTTTAGTAGTTCATTATATGAAATTCAATTATGGAAATGTTCAATTTAGAAAATAACACACCCTCCTAATCCTGTCTCCCCGAATCAGTAATGTCTCCAAGTTTGAGAAGTATACTTTTACTTATATGATGTTATTATTTCTGAAAGTCCTTTTTTATTTCAGTATTTGAACTGGTAATAAATTCATATGACTCCAAGTTCAAAAAGACATAAAAGTACAAATGCTAAAAAACACAAAACTTCCACACCTAGCCCAGGCTTTTTTGGAAGGACTAGTGTAATACGTCATTTTGTTTAGAGGGGTAGAGCTTTTCTAGGCAGCCTGCACTCTGGAGTTGGGTTATGCAGATTCAGATCTGGGCTCTAGCACTCGCTGTATGAACCTGGAAATAACCGTTAACCTATCTGTACCTGGTTTTTAAATTGGAGATGATGGTATAACAGATTCACTTTTATTCAATACACTGTGGTCTAACCATTGGTCTGTTAATTGAAGAAGTTAAGGTGGATAAATCACTAAAAAAAAAGACAATACTCTACCAGCTAGCTTTTAATGCCTAACAAAAAAGCACCTAAAAGGTAATGTCGTCAAATAGATTTTTCATAGGTCTCATGTTATGTAAGACTATGTGGTTCCTCTGTCCTAAGCCTGTGAGATTAGGTTGAATGGTCTAGGTCTATGAGAGCCTCACTGATTGGTCTGAGTCTCCCCTGTGATGACTCAGGTCTGTGATCACACATCTTCAAGGAAGCTAGCCAGAGTATATTCCTTTGGTGACAGTGAGTTTCCAGCAGCAAGAGAGGGAAACCCCAATGTGTGCACACTTTTCAGTGTTCCCCTAGTGTTTTATAATCTTCCGTTGGCTAGATAAACCATATGTCCTTCACCTTTTGACAGGAAGAGGGGCACAGCTAATCATATTGTTTAGGAGCCTGCATTTGGGTTTGGAAGGAATACACAACACACCTCGACACATTTTAATTTAAAATCATTCACCTTTTGACAGACAAAATCTTTTCTTGTATACTTTGCTTACTTGAGTTCTACATTCTCTTGCTTATTTAAACATCCAAATAAACTAAATATAGCTGTTTTTAATTTTTGTTTCTTTAAAATGGAACAAGAATATAAAGTCACTGGGAGAAACAACTAGAATGAGGAATTCACCTAGATCTAATAGTCCCCCTGCCTTAATCTCTCAGAGTTTTACCCACTCCCAATCCAATTGCATTTTATATTTTTAATGACATTTTATGCTCACTGAGTTTTTTTTAAGTCATTTGACTTAGATTTCTTGAAACATCACCTTTTCATTCATATTTTACAGATTTGACCAATATATAATCACATTGTGTAATTATAATAACAAATATGGTTGACCTGTGGTTAAGCCATTTGGGAACAAAGACAAAAGATTCTTGGTAAACATCAGTTTGCCTTGAGAGGCATCCTGGAACAATCAGCAGATGAAAGCATCAATCAGTGTGTTTCCCAGAAGGGACTAAGAGCCTCAGTTTATGGAAAAATGGAATCAAGCTTCTATTGTACTTACCTAGTAGGACTATTGTGAGAGTTAAATCTGAAAATATCCGTAAATTGTTGAAAATCCTTGCCTACGTGTGAAAATAGGCTTAGAATACTTATCACACTCTTAGTAAACACTCATTAATTGCTGTTATCATTGTCATGATCATTAAAGTTATTATTAATATTATTATTCAGCCCAAAGATGGACCTTGGGGTGCAGAGTAGAATAGGCTGAGAAAGAACAAAAAGCATAAGCCCCAGTGGTATCAAGTAAAACTAGAAGAGAGCAATGGAGGTGGGAAAGGAGGGAAAGATCGAACCAGGGGATTGTAAAACTCATGTTAGATGGAGGAGATAGAGCTTGGGAAGAAATAGGTGATTTGAACAAAGAGCATGGAGCAGTGGGCATGCAGGTGAAAAGGAATTCTAGTTCAACATCATTATTTGAAGAATGATGATTCAGAGCAATGCTTCCCAAATTCTGGTTCACAGTCTAGTTGTTTCAGCATTACTGGGAGAACTTGTTAAAAATGGAGATTTTGATCTCTTAAATCTGTAGTTAGACACATGACCCTTTATTACCAAAAGATACCCAGGAGACAGATTGGAAGCTTTGCCATGAAAATATAGAGTACTGTAAGTCGGAAAATGGGCTGGAGTCTTAGGTCCAGAACTGACTTGCTGTTTTACTTCTCTGAGACTTCCTCAGACCTCTGTCTTGAGGGTTAGGGAGATAAAGGGTGTGGAGTGTTTTATTCCTTGTTGAGCCCCTGCATGCATGATGGTGAATAGCTGCAGATAATCTATATTTGAGACTCCTGTACCTTTTCTGTTCTACTTCCTCTCTTTATCCAGACTAGGCAGCAGAACCCACTTAATCCAGTTCTTTAATTGTGGTTATTTTATGTTTTGCAGACACCACGGTACTATCTGTTCATATGGCTCCTCCTGGATATTTTTTCTGCAATTTTCATTACTGCCATATTTTGTTTTCACTGGTAAGTATATGCCTGTAATTTTTAAATAAAATTTGTCCAAAATAAAAGTAATAAATGGGTTTGTTAGGTGAAAAGAGCCAAACCAGGACCAGACCAGAACCATAACAAATCTTTATTATGGGGAGGATCTGCTGGGGTATCTCCAAACAAAGGAGGAAAAGCAACATGGCAGAACAGGGAGCTTCTTTTATGGGAGAGGGGTGGGGTTAGCCTGAGCTGGGGTGGAGTTGAGTGAGGTAGTATTAAGAGATTGGAGGAGCCTGTGACATCACTAGCTACTAAGAGGTAGCAAGTATCAGGTTACTCTTTTGGAGGGAGAAGAGGCATGATGGGAAGAAAAAGCCTGTCCTTTGTTGGGAGAAGGCATATTTTAACATGGAGGCTGCTAGTCCCTGTGGCAGCCATCTTAAGGCAAGGAAAATCTAACAGAGTTCTTTCAGTAATTTGAGAAAAAATATACCCACTTATATTCTTTCTATATCTCCACATGGAAAGACCAGAGTTATAATATGAACCTCTCATTCTTTTTGTTCTCCCTGAAACTCCTCACACTCCTTCCTCTTTCCCAACATAAGATAATATTTTCAGGGTAAAGAGTGTCAAGGAAGCTTAACCGAGTCTGTTAGGATAGATTCAGTGTAGAGCAGCTAGAAGACAGGGAACGGAGGGTGTTCAGACAATGGTGTCCATCTTATCCCGTCATGAAGTGACAGAGCAGGGTGCTGTGCAGAGAACAAGCTCATGGACCAGGGAGACTGGGTTTTATCACTGGCCATGCCCCTTAGTTGCTGACTGACTTTAAGAAAATCACTGTCCCTTTCTGGGCCATACCCTTTATTTGTCTAAGAAAATAATTTTTGCTAATCCTTGCAGGGTTAATGCTTCAAGACTGAAAGTTTTAAGGTAGAAAAGGGAGAGAAAATCCTGGAAGGGGGAAAGTTAGAGGAATCTATGGTTCTTTAGTTAGAGGAGGATCATCATTTCTTGATTTGTGACTTATCCTTTAAAGGAGGAGGCACAAACCCTCTGCTCAAATGAGAATCTGATTGCATAAACTTTCTTTTCTGGCCACTACCTCTCTTTTTAGAAAGAGGCCTGTGAGTTTACCAATGGTCTGCTTACTTCCAGGTGGAAAGAGCTCAAAGAAGAAAAATTGCTTGAAGCCTCCAGAACCTTCACAGGTAAAGTCAGAGGCCTTGCCCTTACTTTTCTTCTTCCCTACTCACTGCTTCCAGAAGACAGGGTTTGCTTTTCCTGTCTCTGACAAGAGCCGAGGGCATGTGGGTATGGGGAGTGGGGAGAAGTTAGGAAGTACTATATAGTCATGCCTTCCTCTATCAAAGGATTCAACCAAGCACCAGTGGAAAACACTTGAAAAAAGAAAGTTACGTTCCTATTGTGCATTATATAGTTAGGCCTATGATGGTTTGTCTGCACTGAACAGGTACAGACTTGTGTTTTTATCATTGATCTCTGTTGCTTAATGATGGGGATACAGTTTGAAATTGTGCAAACATAATGGAATGTATTTAATACAAACATATATCTGTATGGTGTATATGTACACCACAGAATGTGTGTGTGTGTGTGCGTGTGTGTGTTATAGCATGTTGCTCCTGGAATGGTGATAAACAAAACAACAAGATATTAAATCAAGCACAAGAGAATATTATGCAATAGATATGTAAATACAAAGTGTACTCATTTTGTGCTGATATAGACTTTTCAGTAAACTTTTTTATAAGTAGATGGAGTATATTCTAAAATAATGATAGTACAGTACAGTAAATACATGAACCAGTGACATAGTCATTTATTATCATCAAGTTCGTGTATTGTACATAACCATGCAACCAGCAGTACAGTAGGTTCATTTACATGAGCATCACCAGAAAAATATATTGTGCTCTGATGCTACAATGGCTATGATGCCACTGGATGATAGGAATTTTTCAGCTTCACTCTCTTATGAGATCACTGCCATATAGAAATACATGATTGTCTGAAATGTTATGCACCAGGCCCATGAATGTATTTCCTAAACAACACAGTTTAACGCCTATTTACATAGTGTTTATATCATATTAGGTGTTACAGGAATTCTAGAGTTAACGTATATGAGAGGATGTATGTGGGTCCATTTTAAATAAGAGGCTTGCTGAGTCTGGTGACCTTGGGAGTGCTATAAGCAATCCCCTGAAGATACCAGGGGATGACTACACGAGCTACCACAGATTCTGGAGGATCCCTTACATCAGTCTTTAGACATCGGGTGGCATCATCTAAACAATGAGACCCTCTGGAAAATTTCAGGCACGAGTGTTTATGTGTTCACTTCTATACATATTCACATATCACATAATAATTGAGTACCTACATTGTGCCAGGCACTCCAAGAGAGGCTGAAGATAACTGAAAACTACAGAGGGTGGCCCAAGAGATAGGAGGGCTGGCCCACAAAGACCAGTTAAAAAAAAAACAAACAAAAAGCAGACCAAAGCAGTTGACATGCACCCAGATCTATGACAGAATAGCTACCATGCTGGCGGGGCTGAATGTGCTTAGGAGGCTCCAATTGTGGGTGCTGTGCATTGGAGAGTAGACAGAAAGGCTGCAGAGATACTAAAATGCTACACTAGAGTTTAGACTCTGCAGATAAGCACTCAGGAGGTGACAAATGAGTCCAAACAAGAGAATGATATGTTAGATTTCTGTGTGAAGGAATTTCTGTGTGAGTTACTCTACTGAGGCTGAGAAAGTGAGGTAGGCCCAGCAAAGGGAAAGAAAACTAGAATTTATTTCCAGAGGGTTGTGGGGATAGTTATTTTGGAAGCCTGTGCAATGTCAAAGGGAAAACCAAGAAGGCGGAGAAGCCTGTGCAATACAGATTATCATTTCCTTCCACAGTTCTAGAGCCTTAGTAAAGTTACAAAAATCGTGAGTTCATTTCATTTCTTATGGACGACAGTGAAGCTCCTCAGATTTTATGTACCAGCTAGCAGAGGGTTGAACTGATGATATACCATTTAAATTTCAGGAATGGATCCACTGGACCATGAAAAACTAAGTGAAGAAATTTGAATGAATTAAATGAGAGTCAGTGGCTTTTATGTTCTGTGAAACTGAAGGTTTAAGTCAAGTTCACTAAAATCTCTAAGTGGCAGGAAGCTCTCCACTCTGAGTTTGAGGAATTTTAAGACCATTCCACTGGCTACGTTAGGTCTGAAGGCTGTATTCCAGCTACCTTACAATTATCAACACTTGCATTAGGAAACGGGTGGTGCCATAAGTAGAATCACTGACTTAGTAGAAATGTTTGTCCTCACAGTTTTGGAAGCTAAAAGATCAAGATCAAGGTGCTGGTAAATTTGGTTCTTGATGATAACTTTCTTATGTCCTCATGCCATTTCCTGTAGATATGCTTGGAAAGAGAAGTGCATTCTCTTTTTCTTATTATAAGAATACCAGACCTATCAGATGAGGGGCTCATTATTATGATCTCATTTACCCTTAATTATCCCCTTAATACCCATATTTTCAAATATAGCTACACTGAGTCTGAAGACTTCGACATATGAATTTGGTGGGTGGGAAGGAATAATTCAGCCTATAATAGTAACCTAGCCAAGAAACAATTCAAGCATAGAAGGCATAGATTGGAAAGAAGTTTTGAAGGAAAATTTTAAGAACTATACAAAGGTGCATGTAGCTATAATGCCTTAGAAAAAGTTAACTTGACCCTACCCTGCCAAACTGAAAGTAGAAAATAAAATTTAAGTGTTTCCTGTTTTTAAGAGTTACTCATTACCTATTAACAGAAACTAATTATGCCTGATTTAAGCAGAAAGAAAATGTATTAAAAGACTATTGGGGAATCTCCGAGAAATTCCTAGAAGGTATAGGATCAAGTTTAGAATCAGAGAAGGAACAAGGAAGACTTGACAGAATCCAGGACTTCAATAAAAACCCCAGCCCAGATCCCTTCGGGGTGAGGGGGATATTATTGTGTGGATGAAGTGTGGAGTGCCCTATCTTCCACCACAACCCCTCCCACGAAGGGCACAGACTGACACACCCACTGACGCAGTCCTGCTGCCAGAAAGCGCTCAAGCCCTCTGCCTTCTGTTTGAGGTAGCTTCTTATGAAAAGTCTAGTTTTCTTATCTTTGTTCCCACGTAATCTCCCCCTTCCTTTGCCTTCTTTTGAAGATTTTTTCTTTGTTACCGGAGTTTGGTAATTTCACTATAGTTTACCTCGGGAGGGTGTGCAGCATGTGTGCGCCTGTGCACACCTGTACACGTGTGCATATGTACAGATATTTGTGTCCTGGTTGGGCTTACTGAAATTCTCAGACCGGTGAAACAGTCCTTCCTTCAGATTGGACACATTTTCAGCATTCCTTCACAAACTTTTCTGCCTTTTCCCCTCCTCACCGTTTCCAGAATTTCAATCACATAGATATTAGAGTATGATATTACCAGTATCACTCAGGTGACTAAGACTCTTTAACTTTTATTTTAGCCTATTTAATTTTTGCTTCATTTTGGATAAATTCCATTACTGTGCATATTAGTTTTTTTATTGCTTTGAAAAAAATTGCCTCAACCCTTTAAACAACCTAAGTTTAGTATCTCAGCTGTAGGTTAGATGAGTCTTCTGCCTAGAGTCTTACCAGGCTGTGATGGGAGTAACAGTTGGGGTTCCAAGCTCATCTGAGGGATAGGGTACTCTTCCAAGCTCACTGTTAGCAGAATTTGGCTCTGAGTAGCTCTAAGACTCTGGTCATCCCTGTTTTCTTGACAGCTGTTGGCAGAGTATTGCTCTTGTCGCTAAGAAGCCCATTTTACAGCCTATCCACATGGTCTATGGCAGCTTACTTCCTCAAATACAAGAGAGTACCTCTCCAGACTGCTATGACAGAGTTTTATATAATGTGATCATGGGAGCAACTATCCCTTTGCCTTGCCACATAGCCTACCAAGGAGTTACATGTCCTCATATTCACAGGTTTCCCACTCAAGGAAAAGGGGAATTATATACCAGAGTTTGGGAAACTTGGAGGCTGTCAGAGACTCTGACTCCCACACTATATTTTCAACTTAAATTGATTTTTTCTTTCAAGATATCTTATCTGGTGTTAATTTTTAGCCAGTGAAATTTTAGTTTCAAATACTATATTTTTCATCTCTGGAAGTTCCATTTGGTTCTTTTTAATATCTCCAATTTCCTTCGTTGCATTCATGTTTCCTTTAAATATATGAACATAATTATAGCTGTTCTAATAGTCTTGTTGGATAGCACCATCATCTCTTATTTCTGAGTCTATTCTGCTGTCAAATATGAATTATATTTTCCTGTAAGACATATAGAAGACAAAGAGCAAAATGATTCCCACCTTATTAGTAATTACTCTAAATGTAATGGATAATAATCCTGAAGATAGAGATTGGTAGCATGGATTTTAAAAACATGATCCAACTACTGTATGAGACTACTGTATATCAACTATAAGAGACTTGCTTTAGATCCCAAGACACAAACAGATTGAAAGTGGTTAAGATGAAAAAAGATCCCATGCAAATAGTAAACCAAAAAAGAGCAAGGCTAGTTATAGTAGTATGAGAGTAAACAGACTAATCAAAAAGTCCTCTCAAAGGAAGCAATGTGGTTAGTGGAAACTATAAAACTTTACTGAGAAAGAAGACCCAGGTAAATTGAGTAATATGTATATGTAATATGTTCATAAATTATAAAACCTAATATCATAACGATATTAGTTGTCATTAAATTGACCTATATACAAATTCAGTTCAAGTCCAATGAAAGCCCCACTTCCTCCTGTGAAGTTGACAAAAATGGAGTTATGTATGCTGCTGTTTCTTCCAGATTGAAATATGCTGTGGGAAAAAGTAACTTCTGAATTCTGGGCTTCTTTGGATTCTCATTTTCTCTAGATTTTTGGCCCCACAGTTCCTCACCATATTGTAAACTATTTGATAATTTTAAGATTTTTTTTGTTGTTTGTTTTTTGTTTTGGTATCTGGGATGGAACTCAGGACCTTGAACTTGCAAGGCAGGTGGTGGAGCCACTGAGCTATGTCCCCGGCCCTGTTTTCTTGTTTTTGTATATCATCTAGTTTTTAATTCTTTGATAAGAGGCTTGTTCTCAATTTCCTAGCTCCATTACTAGAAGTACCTACTATCTATTTGTTCTACCAATCAGACAATAATTATTTATTCAGCACTTAACATGTAACAGACACTTCTGAGCACTGTGTATGTAGTGGCAAGCAAGACAAAGTCTCTGTCTTTATAATGTCTCAGTCTAATTGCGGAAGTGTTCATTTTTGTGTTTAACTGATTGTGTTTAATGACTGTGAAGCACATGAACTTTAGGCAAATGACAGTCCTTGGCTTCTGAGGCTTCCATGGTAACCTAGAGCCTCACACCACACTCTTAAGCCCCAGCTGCAGCCTGAATTATAGGGCCATCATGAAGTCTGAAGGAGGTGGGGAGAGCGTACTGCCAAGAACCTGAGAAGGTAGGTGAGGTGCTAAGATTTGACAAATGACTTGGCTTTCACACATGACTGGCAGGATTGGAGAAGTGCTGTTTGAGGAATCTGCATTTGTGTCTTTTCTGTCCCATAGATTCTCAAAGTTTAAGCCACTCAGTGGAACAAACTGAAGATCAAGAAGCGTCACACTTACCTAAAAAGCCTACCCGAGTTAGGGAAAGTCCTTGGACTCCAGCCTTACCTGGTAGCAGAAAGAAACTCTCAGACACTTCCCATTTTGAAGAACCCCTCAAGAAGAAACCAGGGTCTATCAAGATCACTCGGAACATTGTTACAGACTTTGAAGACAGCCAAGTACCCAACTGGGGAGTTGCTGGTGAAGCTGCCCCTCAAACTACATTACCCACCATGAAGGCAGATGAACCAACAGTGCCCTTCACAGAGGGCCCCCACCCTGAAATACATCCAAACACACCCATATTAGAACCTGCCAAAGAATCCAGTCCATCTGTCATCCCCTTATAGGATGTTATTCAAGCAGAAGTGGCCACACCTCACCCTCTTCTTCCTCTCTGTGCCTAAGAGTAGTGATGGTGGGGAGTGGTCAAGAAGGCACACAGAAGGGATATTGAGGCTGTCAGGCATACCATTCTGGTCCAGCCTTTCTATAAAGAATGCATCCTAAAGGGTAAGGAGAAACAGTGGTGTGTGGTCTTGGAACTGGACTTCGTTGTTTTCTGGGTTAACACTTTCATAGTAATTTCTGCTAAGAGAGTGACCGTGGTGAATGCCAACATTTAATAAATGCAACCTTTGAGGAAGCCAGAAGATATGTGGTCTATTCTTTGTCCTGCTCTGTGATCACTCAGGCTGATGAAGACTGGCAGACAGGCAGAGTGGTGATGTCATCCTAAGCCAGGGAATGAGAGTTGGCCTGGTATGAATCAGGCCAAGCTTTCCTGTAAAACACACACACACATCACTGATTCCCCAGTGGTCTGAATTCCACGCCCACCAAGTGGCCGTTGGTCTTTGAAGAAATCCAGAGCCATACTGTGTTCCTGAATCTCTACCAATTTGAAGGAGCCCAAGAAAATGGACCCAGGACCTATCAATGTGAGAGCAGCACTGAAATGAGATAAAAATGGAATATTTAAGAATACATTATTAATGAAACCCGTGAACAAGCTCTAGAGTCTGTCCCCCTGGTTAACACTAAGAATTAAATATTGCCATTTCCCTCAAATAAGATTCAAATATTAATATTTATAAGTACAGATATTTAAATATTCAAGGCAACAGGCAGAACATGATTAATTATCAAATAAACTCAGACAGACAGTAATAGTTCTTGGGATCCAGAGAGAAAGTGACATTAATTTAAAATTAGAAGAAATCTGGGAAAAATTAGAACTGAATGGCATAGGAATTGGAAAATAAGATAAACACAAATTACATATTAAACAGGCTAAACAACATAAAAAACTTTAATGCCAGTCTTAAATTTTTTCCTTTAAAAATTGTGATAAGCCGGGGATTTAGGATTTAGCTCAGTAGTTCCACTGCCTGCCTCTCAAACACAAGGACCCGAGTTTGAGACCCTGGTACCAAAAAAAAGAAAAAGAAAAGAAAAATTGTGATAAAATGTATATCACAATGGTTTTTATTTTAATAATTTTTAAGTACAGTTTGAGGACATTAAGTACATCATACTGTTGTACAATTAGTATCATAGTCTAAGTCCAGAACTTTTTCAACTTGTAAAACAAACCCTGAATGGATTAAAGACTGAAACCACAAAATGACTAGAAGAAAACGTTGGGGCAAAATTTTTTGACATTGGCCCAGGAAATGATTTTTGGATATGACACCAGTGTAGGCAACAAAGACAAAGATAAGTAAGTAGGACTACATCAGAATAAAAAGCTTTAGCACAGCCAAGGAAAAAGAATAGAGATACCTAGAGAATGAAAGAAAAGATTTGCAAATAGCACTTCTGAGATTAATATCTCAAAATAAGGAACTCAACCAACTATAGCAAGAAAACTACCTTATTAAAAAGTGGGCCAACTATCTGAATAGACATCTCTCAAAAGAAGATGTACAGTAGCCAACAGGTATATGAAAAGGTATTCAATATCACTAATCATTAGGGAGATGCAAATTAAAGCCACATTGAAACAAGCTCATACCTGTGTAAATGAGTGTTATAAAAAGAAGTGCCGGCAATGATGTGGAGAAGAGAGAACCTGTAACTGTTGGTGAAAATATAAATTAGTACAGCCACTATGGAAAACTGCATGGAAATTCTTCAGAAAAGTGAAACTACAACTACCATATAGCAATCCCATACTGGGTACATGCCAAAGAAAATGAAATCAATGTTGAAGAGGTTTATGTATTCACCTATTTGTTACAGCATTTATATAATAAGATATGGAAATAACCTAAATGTCCATCGGTAAGATGAACAGATAAAGAAAATATAGAATATTTATACAATGGGATACTAGTCAGCCTTAAGATACATCTTGTCATTTATGGCAACATGGATAAACACAGAGGACATTATACTAAGTGGAACAACCTAGACACAGAAAGATATTTCATGATCTCACATTTGAAATCTAAAAACACTCAAATTCAGAAGCAGAGTAGAAGGTGATTATCAGGGGTTAGGGAGAGGGAAAATGCAGAGATGCTAGTCAGAGGGTATGGAGTTTCATTTATACAGATAAGTTCTAAAGATCTAATGTACTACAGCAATAAGACTATAGTTAATAACAATAGAATATAGTACACCTAACATTCAGTAAGAGGTTAGATCTTAAGGGTTCTCACCACCAAAGAAGTATCTGTGGTGTGAGGGCTATGTTAACTAGCTTGATTCTGGTGATTGCTTCACAATGTGAAAATATATAAAAAACTGGACACCTTCAATACAGTAAATACAAGATTTGTGTGTCATTCTCTTTCCTCAGCCCCTGCCACCCACCATTCTGTTTTCTCTGAATTTGACTAGGTGCTCCGTGTGCGTAAAATCATACAGTATTTGTCTATTGGTGATCTGCTGATGTCACTTAGCATAAAGTCAACCTTCATCCATGTTACAGGGTGTGTTATAATTTCCTTCCTCTTTAAGGCTTAATAATTTTGTCATATTTATATACCACAGTTTATCATTCATTCATAAATGAACAGTTTGGTTGTTTCTGCCTTTTGGCATATTACCATTATTAATGCTGTTATAAATATGGGTGTACAGCTATCTTTCATATTCCTGTTTTCACTTCTCTTGGGTATATGCCACAAATGAAATTGCAGTATAATATAGAAATTCTGTTTTAAATTTTTTGAGGAATCCCACATATAGTTTTCTACATTCCCACCACCAGGTAAAAGAGTTCCAGTTTCTCCACATATTAGCTGATATTTGTTATTTTCAGTGCCTTTATAATAGCTAACCTAATGAGTGTGAAGGATTAGTGATGAACATTTTTTAATGTCCTTTTGGGCTATTTGTTTGTTTGTTTGTTTGGTACCAGGGATTGAATTCGGGTCTTTGCGCTTGCCAGGCAGGCACCAGAACCACTGAGCTAAATCCCTGGGCCAAACTTTTTTTTTTTTTTTTGGTGGTACCAGGGATTGAACTTGGGACTTTGTGCTTGCAAAGCAGGTGGAGGATCCACTGAGCTAAATCCCCAGCCCATGGCTATTTGTATAACTGGAGAAATGCCCAAGTCTCTTGATTATTTTTAAATCTACTTGTTTTGTTGTTCAGTTTTAGGAATCCTTTATATATATATATTCTGGATGTCAACCCCTTGTCAGATATGTGGTTTACAAATATTCCCCCTCATTCTATGGGTGAAGCAGGTGGAGGATCCACTGAGCTAAATCCCCAGCCCATGGCTATTTGTATAACTGGAGAAATGCCCAAGTCTCTTGATTATTTTTAAATCTACTTGTTTTGTTGTTCAGTTTTAGGAATCCTTTATATATATATATTCTGGATGTCAACCCCTTGTCAGATATGTGGTTTACAAATATTCCCCCTCATTCTATGGGTGGCATTTGCAGTTTGTTGATAACGTCTCAAAATAATAAAAAAGCTTGCTTTTTTTTTTTTTTTTTTTTTTTTTTTTTTTTTTTTGGTACCAGGGATCATCAAACTCAGGACCTTGCCCTTGTGAGGCAGGTGGCAGAACCAATGAGCTAAATCCCTGGCCTAAAAAGCTTTTAATTTTGATGAAGTCCAATTTATCTATTTTTTTTCCTTTTGTTCTCTCTGCTTTTAGTGTCATGCTTCAAGAAAGCACGACCAAATACAAGGTTATGATCATTTTTGACTTATGTTTTCTTTTTGGAGTTTTATCATTTTAGTTCTTTGTTTGTTTGTTTGTTGTTTTTTTTGGTACTGGGGATCGAACTTGGGCCCTTGCGCTTGTGAGGCAGGCTGAGCCAAATCCCCAGCCCTTTATTTCTTAAATTTACATCTTTGACCTATGATGTGTTTATTTTTGTATATACTATAAGGGTCAGATGTCATTCTTTTAAATGTGGATGTCCACTTTTCCCAGTAGCATTTGTTAAAAAAGACTGTCTTTTCTCCTTTAAATGTTCTTTGTATACTTGTCCAAATTCAGTTGACTATAAATATATAAAGGTTTAGTTCTGAGATTCAGAAACCATACACCTTAGTTCTTAACATTCAGAAATTTTACTATTACCTTTCAACTAATGTTGAAGTTGGGCTTGGTGACATTTTTGGACCACATATTTTTTCCTTGAAGATTTTTTGGAATTTCTTCACTATTCAGTATCCTATGGAGAAATCTGATATCAACCCAATTTTACCCAATAAATTTGTGTAGCTAAAAAGAATAAAAGGAGCCCAATGTCTTAATTAAAAATGACTCAGTGTTAATTATTCTAGGTCACAGTTCCTTGGTTTCAGTGTACCTTTACAGCTTCTAAATTCATATATTCATCAATTTCTACTTATATGTCTCTGAGAAATCTTAAATAATATCATGTCCATCCACCCGAACTCCTGATGTTGCATTTCCCAATTATACATCTTTTCCGTCAATAGCAGTGACATTTGTTTCTCAGGCCAAAACTCGTGAGTCAATCCATTGACAAATTCTGCGACTACCTTTATGTCAGATTCAGCCACTTCTCATCTCCACTGCTACCTGGACCAAGGTATGATTGTCCCCAAGAGCCTCTAGTCTTTCAACTTGTTGCTCTGCTTCCACCCTTCCCAACCTTTCCCTTCCTTCCTCCCACTAAGTCTGCAGTCAGCACAGCAGACAAAGTGATCCATTTAAAACTCTAAGCCAGATCATGTCAGTCCTCCCCTTATAACTTCCAATACCTCCCCACTCCACTTGGCATAAAGTCAGTACCTCAACAGTACTCTAGAATGTCCTGCATAATCTTATTTTCCTCACTCTGCTCAAGTCACATCAGCCTCACTTTTCCTTAGACATCTAAGATGTCCCTGAACGCAAGCCCTTTGTGCTTGCTATCTTCCAACCAAAATCACTGGCCTTGGATATTCAAAAGGGTTCACTCAGCTAATTCAAGTCTTGGCTGAGACAACATTGAGAAATGTCCGCTGTCCATCTTGTTTAAATTGCAAACTCAGTCTTACCATTATCTTGATCATTTTCTTATAGTATTTATCACCTCCTGTCATCTTACTAAGTTACCAGTTTGCTTCTCCTCCAGTGAGAATGTAAGCTCCACAATGGAAGAGGCTTTTGTTGTTGTTCACTGATGTATTGTTGACACCTAAAACAATATCTGGCCTATGGATAAAAATGAATAAATATTTAAAAGAATTACCAGAAAAAACACTTTACCGAGGAATAATTAATATAATGGTAACATTTGGGGGTTTTGTTTGCTTGCTTTGCAGTATGAAGGATTGAAGCCTGGGGTTTGTGCATGCTAGACATGCACTCCATCAATGAGCTATACCCCGACCCATTTTAAAATTTGAAACAGTGTCTTGCAAAGCTCTCAAGGCTGGCCTTGAACTTGTCATCCTTCTGCGTCAGCCTCTAAGTAGCTCGGATTATAGACATGTACCACCATGCCCAGAAAAACCCTAGCTATTTAAAATTGAATGTTTTTAGTTAGGTTTAGTTAGTTACTAAACCATTACCACAACCAAAAAAATAGATCTATCATTGTCAAAAGTTCCCTTGTGTCCTTTTGTGATGACTTCCTCTTGTCCTTCCCTGCACAGCTCTTCCCTAGATGCCCTAATTTGCTTTCTTTCCTAGAGTTTGCATTTTCCAGAATTTTGCATAAATGGATAAATAATGTATATTAGTTTTTAGCTTCTTTCATTCTGCATTATTGTTTTGGGATTTTTTTTCCTGTGTTTTCTCTATTAACAGTGTATTCCATTTCATGGCCGAGTAGTACTTCATTTGCTATGTTTCCTAACTGGTTTCAGGAAAAAAAAAATTTTTTTTGATCTAACTACAGAAACACAAACTGACAAATGGGGTTATATCAAATGGAAATCTTCTGTACAGCAAAAGAAACAACAGAGCAAAGAGACAACCCCCAAACTGGGAGAGAAATTTGCAAATTATTCATCTGAGAAGTTATTAATTTCCAAAGGATATAAGGAACTGAACTCAGTAAATTATAGATAATCCAATTAAAAGTGGATGAATAACCTGAACAGACATTTCTCAAAAGAGGGTACACACATGGGCAACAAGTACGTGAAAAAGTGTTCACCACTAATTGTCAAGGAAAAACAAACCAAAGTCATACAGAAATGTCATCTCACCCCAGTTAGAATGTCTGTTTTCAAAAAGACGAAAATAACAGTGCTGGCGAGGATGCAAATCAAGTGAAAGAATTCTCATACACAGTTGGTAAAAATGTAAATTAGAACAGTCATATAGAAAACAGCCCAGTAGTCATTTTAAACACTAGAAATAGACTTATATGATCCAGCAGTTTCACTACCTGGTATACATCTAAAGGAACTGAAGTTGGTATGCCAAAGAAATACTTGCACTCACATGTTTATGCAGAGCTCTATTCATAATAGGTAAGATAGGGAGTCAACCCGAGTGTCCAGCAATAGATGAATGGATAAAGGAAATGTGGTGTACACACACAATGTGATATTATTCAGCCACAAAGAGAATGAAATTCTGTAATTTGAAGCAACATAGAAGGAACTGAAGGACATTATGCTAAGTGAAATAGTTCAGGCACAGAAAGACAAATACCACTTATTCTCACTTATATCTATAAGGTAAGTTTATCTCAAAGAAGTAGAGAATAGAATAGTGGTTACCAGAGCCTGGGAAGGGTTTAGGGGAAAGAGGGATGGAAAAAGGTTGATTGGTTAGATATAGGGGGAGTACCTTCTAATATTCTGTAGCACAGTAGAATAACTATGGATGATAACAATTAGGATTGTGAATTTTTTCAACCCAAAGAAATGATGTATGTCTACAGTGATAGATGTGCCAGTTACTTTCATCTGCTCATTACTCAGTGCATATATGTATTGAAATGTCTCACACTATGAACAATTACCGTGTCAATCAAAAATAAAAATATATTTTTTAAAATGTTAGTTTCGTTTTCAAATATTAGGGAACTTCCCAGATATCTTTTTAGGGACTCTGTTGGAACTCAGTTGGGTGGGGACTCTGGGGTTGGAACTCAGGGCCTTGCCCATCCTCTGTCTCTGGGCTACACCCCAGCCTCTCTGGACCTCAGCCTCCCATCTGCATAATGGCACAGGGGAAAGTCACCACAGGACCTTTCCCAGATTTCTCCTGCCTAACTGAGACATTTGAACATTGTTGGAGCAGGACCTCTCCCCAAACAGCACACTAGTTATCCCAGAGGGTGAGTCTGTCTAGATTGGGGCCTCCATTTGCACACCAGCCATTCCCTCTCCTTTCCCAGCAGCTGGGAGATCAGGAATAGAACTCCCTGGGAGCATGGGTAGGCACACACATCTGGGTGGCCCAGACACGTAAATCTGTACTGGCCCACAGGAGCAGGACTGGCTCTGCTGAAATAGCAGGAGACCTTTAGGCAGATCACAAACACTCTCACCTCAAAGGGATTTCCACTGTTAAAGCTCTAGGCAGTCATTCTAGGCATTCCCAGAAGATTCCCTACTCAAATCACCCCTGCGCTGTCTGAAGCCCACACCTCCAGACCCATCCCAGTTATGCCCAAACTTGGTTGTCTTATCCCATTCACAAAGCAACATTTCACAGACCTCCACCGAATGCAGGTTTTTATCCAAGGCAGTGTTGTTCTTGGGGTTCTCTGACTTGTCTTGATGAACCAAGAAGTTTCTGCAGGGAGCAAGGGCCATTCTGGCTCCACTGACCCTAGTTAAAACCCAGAGGCTGATACTTCCTTTAGATCCCCAGGCCATGACCCTTAGATTCCCACCTGCCAGACTGACATCCAGTTCCTCCCAACCCATCCTGATCCCAGCTGGTCCCTGTAAGACACTATGAAGAACACCTTGGGCTCAAGCACTCCAACTCCCACACCTAGATCAGCTTGTCTAGGCCGGCACAGAGCAAGGAAGTAGTTCTACAGACCACTTCTCTACAGGTCCCTGTCTTGACCCCACACTCCCTCCCCTAGCAAAGACACTATAGGGCCAGAGGATGGAAAACATGCTTTATGCCCTGAGATGATCAGGGAAACTTGAGGAAGGGCCCAGTGCTCACAATGCAATGTACAAAAGTGGTCTGTCTTCCTTGCCCCAGCTGAGGATGCTTGACTTAGAAGAAGTAACCCAGTCCGTTGGATTTCAGAGTATCCTATTCAATGCACATTTGGTTCGGTTGTTCCCAGTGTTGAGAGATAGATGATCCTCTGAATTCCTCTGTCCCTGTGGTACACAGAAACTCAAAGCAGGTGTGGAGCTGGTCTGAGCATCCAAGGCTGGTACACTGGGAAGGCCACGGCAAACTAGGGTGAGAACCAACCCAGGTGCCACAGATGGACAGAGGGAAGTTCTGACCTCAGTGGAAGACAGGTCAGAGGCCCAGCAGATGTGGTCAGTGGTGGATGGCCAGCCCTGCTAGAGGTCTTCCTCAGCTGCAGGGGAAGCTGAGCACCTGAGCCAGATGCTGCCTAGAAAGCAGGCACAGAGCCAGTGTCCCCTCCCCTGTTCACTTGCCGCTCCTGGAGCCCCGCTGTTTGCTCATGGCCGTGAGCATCTGGCTGATGTAGGAGGTCAGGAGGTCATCCATCTTGTAACCCTGGAGTAGTGGTGAGGAAAGAAGAGCACAGGACCAGCCAGCCATTCAGACCTGGGCACATCTTCCAGGACCGGGGCAAATCCTATATTGCTTATGACTTGGTTTCCCTGTCCACACAGGTGAGGAGTTAGACTCATCGAGTCAGGTGGCTTAGGTCCTAAGCTATCTGACCCTACATTAAGCTCCCGGCTTGTGATCACTCAAACCGGGGTGCTTTCCTCCAGTAGTGATTGGAAAGGCTTCTAGACGACCTATACTTTAGAAGTTTGAGCTCAGTTCAGGATGTCTCTTTGCTAATGGTTTGGCTGTTGAATTCAGGAGCCAAAGGGCTACAACCACAGGCTACTGAAACAGTAGTTGTTGAATGAGGAGTTTGTTCTTCAGCCCCAGAATAAGTCTCCTCCCCAGACCTAAGCCAAGCCTCAAACTGACCTGACTTTGGCCCCAACCTCACCCTTGGCCCAGACGCCCCAGCCTGCATCACACACTGTTTGTTTTAGGGATGGGGCAGCTGAAGCTGCAGAAGAGGGAGGAACTGCAGCCAGATCGGCAAGGAAGATCTCTCACCAGTGATGTCTCACAGAGCAGTTTGCTCCCACGGACCAAGTTCCCAATGGTGATGTGGAAGTAGGTGTTGCCACTGCTCCAATTAGAGATCTTGGTAAAGGGGTGAGTGGTCAGGATGTCCTGGGAGAGCAGAAAAGGCATGAAGTTGCAGAGCAACCCTTGATCTCCTCAGCTCCATCAGACAGACACCACTTCATGGAAGGCCTTGGGCCCTCAGGTGAAAAAGGTCTGATGGGGAAAGGCCAGCTCTGCATGGAGCTGCTGTGGGAAGCAGCTGCCTCCATGCCTTGCTTTGGGCCAGCCAGCTGGACAGCCAAGAAGGTCCAGGAGGTGGCTGTGAACTGGGAGTGGAAACTGGAAATTTGAGTGGCCTCAGGGAACTGACTCTGGGCCTGGAGGAGACAGCCAGGGAGAGTTTGAGGAAGGAGAAAAAAAGGCAAAACCTCGAGGAACACAGTGTGCATGGGCTAGTAGGTAAGTCCACAAAAATGTCTGAAAAGAAATTATTTCAAGAGAGAGAAAAATGAGAGGTACATGAAGCCCAGGAAAAGTGGTGCTCATTAGTGCTTTTCACATTCTGGGGACACGGTAGGATTGTGCTTTTTGGTCCCCTTGGCTGGTCCTTAAACAAACCAGTAAGGGCAGAGAGCTTTTTGGAAAGAGGAAGCAACTTGTAGCAGCCAGTGGTGCTGAAAGGCCAAACACTGAAAGGAGTTCATGGGCTTAAGCACCAAGAAATCTGTTAGTAACTCTAGGAGAACAAGAAAGCAGACAGACAACCTTTTAAGATGTGTGGCAAGAAGGCTGATGAATAGGGATGGTGGCTGGTAGGGGTTGTGTCTGGGACCTTGGTTAGTGTGCAGGCAGAGAAGTCCCCCTCCCGCCCCCTCTCACTCTTTCCCTGCTCACCTTGGTTCTGGGATCAATGAGGCTGACCCCGTACTTGTTGATGGCAATTAAGAGGATCTCAGGGAAGTTTGGCTCTGTAGTTTGCTAGCAAAGAAGATGGAAAACCATCAGGTGGAGATCAGAGTAGGAAAGCATTTAGGGCAGGAATGAATCCAGCCAAGCCTCCTGTCTACTTGGTGCCAGGGGCACACTCTGCCATGACCTCGATGGTTTCTACCTCTGCCATGTCTTCAGTGCGGCCCCACATTCCTTTGTAGGTCCCAGCAATAGTTCCGTCCCTTCTCTCTTACTTCTCTAGGAATCTTTGCTATCTTCTTCCTCTCAAACCAAGGTTTCTCAACTGTAAAAAGCCCTCCTTGAACTTTACACCTGCCTCTAGCTACACCTACCCCCTGCTCCTTGCACAGCCAAGTTTCTCAAGAGCCCACATCCTCTCATACCAGCCTCTTCGGCATTCTGCCTCTGGTCATGCCTCTCAGCTCTGTCCTCTACCCTGCAGCTAGAAGCTATCCAGCCCTACTGCCCCTGTTCAGAAGCCTCCAAGGTTCACTACCACCTGCAGAAGGACACCCAGCCCCAGTGTCTGCTTGCCAACCTGCGCTCTCAACAACAGTCTGCTTGGACCAGGGATTTAGCTCAGTGGTGCCACACCTGCCTTGCAAGTGCAAACTCCTCTGTTTGAGCTCCAGTGCCACAAACACAAAACAAAAACAAAAACAGAACAGTCTGCTCACCTCACTCATGTATTCAGATATATTCCACCCCCTGCATTACCTGATCACGCCTCCAGGCCTTTGCCTGTGCAGGCCCTTGTCAGGAGCACTCCCCAGGGTCTCCCTGGAAAGCTTGAGTGTCACTTTCTCCAAGAAGCTTGCCCGGGCCACACCCTTAGTCCAGGCAGGGCCTCCCAAATTCTGTCACCTTCATGAAGGCTTCCACTCTCACAGCACAGGCCACCCTCCACTGTTCTGCCTTGTCTGCATGTCTGCCTCACCTGCCAGATTGAGCCTCTAGTCTCTTCTCCTCACGGCTGAGCCCTTAGTTAAGAAACAGCTAGATCAAGGCTAAGGATACTTTCCTCAACAGGGCAGTTGTCCAAGGCCATTACCATTTGCCTCAGTCCTAGGGAACAGTCTCTGTGCCTTATCATCCCCTCTGTGCCCTCTTCTTCCTCACTAAGGAACTCCCAATGGCGTACCTTCACCTCAAAGAAGGCAGAGCCAAAGGTGGGCCACTTGAAGATGAGCTTTAGGAAGGTCAGCTTGGCCTCCTCCTTGGATTTTCCTGCGTGCTTGTTGAAGTAGGCAACGATAGACTGCAGAAGGAGGTGGGTCAGTACAGTCCACTCACAGCCCTCCCCCCACTATTCCTGCCCACGTCCTGCCTGCACTGTCAAGGCCAGACATAGGACAGGCAGTCCTGGGGTGCCAAGGGGATTCCCACCATCCCAGCTAATGGACTTCTGATTTCCATTCCCTCCCCTAGGAAGGTAGGCCAGACATATCAAGTAAAATTACCAGGACAAATTACTATCATGGGGCCACTGAATCCTTTGCATGGAAGACTAGAGAATAAAATAGAATGGGAGGTGGTCTTAATCACACACAGGAGCCATGATAGGCACTCAGTTCCCTGAGCTGGTGGCCAGCACCTGCCACCCAGACTCATGGTGTGCCCAAAGCCCTTTCCCTGTTGCCTCCCCCATGCTCACCCGCTTCCAGTCATCAGGTGAAATCTGTCGGATGAGGTCTTGAGGTACCAGCTCCCTTAGCAGCTTAGGGATACTGGGGAAGTAGGACTTGTCTTCCTCAAATTTGACCCTATAGATCAGCGCCCCCAGCTGCAGAACCTCCTCTCGTGTGCACTTGTGATATCCTCGGAGATACTTAGGCAGCTCCTGCCAGAGACAGAACAGGCCTCAGGGAGGAGGGATCTGGGGGTAGTGGGCTCCTTCCTTACCACCCCAGGCTGGGGACCTTACCCAACATTTGGGCCCATCACTTCTCCAGCTTCCCTGATTCTGCCCCGCGCCCCGTAATGGCACAGGACAGGGAAATAGCAAAATGCCTGCAGTTTCCACACTTCATCATTTCCAAGTACAGCCCCGTTGGAGCATTGCCTATTTCCCCTCTTAACCATCCAGTGAGGTAAGCAGCCCCATTCACAGACGAAGACACTCAGAGTGGCCAGCTAGTGACACTGAGACCGTTCCGTGCCTCTCCTCTCTGGGATCTGTCCTCCCTTGGACAAAGCCTGTCTGTCTGGCCTCTTCCTATAATGTCTCCTTGGGACTGGCCGGTTCTATCAGCAGTACCAGCCTTCCCACCTCCTTGACCTTCTAGAGCATCTGAGGAGGGGGAGTAGACCAAGAGCAAAGTGCTGTCATGGCCCCCATGGCTCCTGAAGCCATATTATACACTACACTACTATAAGGATCATATTATACACTGCTATAAGGACCTTATTATACACAACTAGAAGGACCATATTATACACAAGTATAAGGACCATATTATACACTACTATAAGGATCATATTGTACACAATTAGAAGGACCATATTATACACTACTATAAGGACCACGTTATACACTACTATAAGGACCATATTATACACTGCTATAAGGACCATATTATACACAACTAGAAGGACCATATTATACACTACTATAAGGAACATATTATACACTACTATAAGGACCACATTATACACTACTATAAGGACCATATTATACACTGCTATAAGGACCATATTATACACAAGTATAAGGACTATATTATACACTACTATAAGGATCATATTGTACACAATTAGAAGGACCACATTATACACTGCTATAAGGACCATATTATACACAAGTATAAGGACTATATTATACACTACTATAAGGATCATATTGTACACAATTAGAAGGACCACATTATACACTGCTATAAGGACCACGTTGTACACTACTATAAGAGTTGAGAAATGAGACTGACCTGAGGACACACTGCTGATCAGAGGCTTGTGTCAGTCACTGTTCATCCACCTTTCCATCTTCCCACCCACCTACTATCTACTCATTCATACACCTACACCCCACTTACGGGTCTACCTCACACACCTCATCCATCTCCCCATCTATCTGTCCATCCACCCGCCTAGCCACTCATGCATTCATTCAGCATTCACCATTCTACCCACCCACTCACTGAGTCACAAATTCACCCATTGAACTACCAACAATACAACAAATAAATTTGAATATCTACTAAGAGCTGGGCTCTTTAAGCAGCAACACATGCGCTCCCTACTCTTATGGAACTTAATCTCAAGAAAAAAAAAGATATACAGACATTAATAATTATGCCAAAATAATGTACAATTAGAGGCTTTGAAGGAATTGTTCAAAGAGGGATAAGGGCACGTAAAAAGGTGGTGTGATCTAGTCTTGAGGACAGGGAAGACTTCCTTTAAGTTTAGACATACAAAAGCACAGTAAATGAGGGAAGAAACTGAGGGAAGAGTATCCCAGATAGGACATTACAAAGAACCCATGGCACACATAAAATTCTCAAAAACAGCTGGCATGAACTGAGCCAAGAGGTGCCAGGTGCAAGAGAAAGCAGCAGAAGTAGGTAGGGTTTGGGGATACACCACAGGTACCACAGAAAGCTCCCAAAGGCTTGGAAAGCAGTGGATTGAACTGGGGAAGAACCAATGAAGAGACCAGGAAAAAGATCACTGCTGTCACCTGAATGAGACCATAGAGGACTGATCCAGGTCAGGAGGGCTGGGAAAAGACACGGGTGGAATTTAGATGTTCAGGTGTTCAGGAGGTAAAACCAGCAGGCAAGTGACTCAGGATATGGGAGATGTCAAGGATAACTCTCAAAACATTTGTAGAATTGGACAAGGGCTTTGGAAACAGTTACAGCAGCAGCATCTTAGACTAGGAGGACAGCGAGGCACTGTAGGAAGGACCTGAACAGGCAGGATTGGGAGCTGGGAGGAAGCACTGTCCAGCCTGTGAGGGCTAAAAGATCAGGAGGCAGAAGGATCTGAGGTCAGGCCACTCCCTGGGGCCCCAGTGGTTTTGACAGGAACCCAATTGAGGCGGCTGCTATAGGCTTTCCCTGACCAGGAGAGCTGGTCTCTGCTTTCACAAAGTAGAGCAAAACTAGTAGCTTGTGGAGGCAAGAGAAGTTCTTGGAAGCTCACCTGGTAATAGTGGAAGATGGAATCCGCCATGGGGTCCTTGCCTGGCACCGTGGTAGTCCACAGTTTCTTCATGAAGAACACCTGGTAGGTGAGCGAGGGCACGATTCCTGTGGCACAGGGCAGCTGGTCACTCAGAAAGTCTCAGCACAGAGGGCACCCAGTGATAGCCCTAGAGGAGACCTTTACTTGAGCCCCACCCAGGTGGCCTGGCACCACGTCCCTGAGCTAGTACTTGCCCTCTCTGGGCCTCAGAGGATCCCAGGGCCCAGCCCTATTACCATCCTTGATAGGCCGTGCTTTCTTTATCCAGTCTGTCAGGTGTCGAACAAAGTCAAAGAAGAAGTCATTCTCGGGGACGCTGATAACCTACGGACATGTTATTGTAGTCCGTTCATTTCAGTTCAAGAAATACTGGCTTTTCTGACTTTCCCCGCCAAGGGGTCCTTTTTCTAGAAAGACTACCCCTACTTGGAAGGGGTTTCCTCATTTCAAGGGTTAATTTGTCCCAGTGTGGCAGGTAAGGAACCAGTGAAAGCAACTTTGCAGAGTACAAGGGCTGATCAAAAGATATGGTATGTGTTTAAATTTTTAAAATGTATTATAATAAAAGACACATTGCCATGAATCACCCTCAAAATATTCCTCTTTGCATCAAGTGTGCTTATTTCATTGTTCTTGCCATTTTTGGACGAGTTTCTGGAACTTCTTTCATGAATGTCTTTATAAGGTGTAACCAAAAAATACAGTTGATGCTGCTGGTGTCATCCAACAGAGGCAGACTCATGAAAATATGACAGTGAAGTGATATGGGTGCACCCACGTTTATAGTGGCACAGTTTGTAATAGCTAAAACTTGGAAACAGCCCAAATGCCCATCAGTTGGAGACTGGATAAAGAAGAGGTGGTTTTTCTATAAAATGGAGTACTATTCAGCCATAAAGAATGAGAAACTAGAGTCATTCATCGGAAAATGGATGCATATTGAGGCCATACTCAAGTGAAATGAGTAAGACACACGTGTAAATACCGAATAGTTTCTCTGGTATGAAAAACGAAAAGTGTAAATAAGATCCAAGTTGTATAACTGATGATGTGAAATAGGAAGAAAGGGCTAAAGGTGTATGGGAAATAGGAAGGGTAGGGGAAATGAGAAAAGGGACAAGAAAAAACAGGAGAAAAGGAAAAAATGGAAACAAAGTCTTTGTAAATAGGGGAAGGGGAGGTGGTGAAGGGAGGGCAGGGGTAAGGGGAAAAAATGAGAACCAAGATCTGTCATGTAAAGGTACAGGATCCCAATAACGAATGTAACTGTACTGTATACTTAACATGTACCAATAAACTCAAGATTTTTAAAAAATGTCACAGTGTGTCCTCCTCCGCCATATTCACTTGATCTGGCACCATGTGACTCCTGCCTCTTCTCTAAAGTGAGAATGACCATGAAAAGTAAACACTGAAATGATTCAAGACACCAAGCAAGGCAGCCATGACAGCAAAATTAACACTCAAGGAAGAAGACTTCCAGAACTGCTTCAGAAAGGGTCAGGAAAGAATGGAATAAGTGTGATGGAAGTGAGGGCAAGTATTTTGAGGGGACTAATGGCAATGTATCTTTTACTGTCATAAAAAATTTGAATTTAAGCATGCACCATACTTTTCAATCATACTTTGTATATGAGAGAATCCTGGTATGTTCAGAATATGCAGTTCCTGGTCACATGGCTCCCAAAGGGTCTGAGCCCATGTGCAATACCTCAGAAGGGAGATTTAGGGACAGGTGCTCCTTTCAAGGGGAGCTGCAGGGAGTAAGAAGGAGGCGGGCACAGTTGGATGTCCCTGGCTGGTGCATCTCCCCCACCCCAAAAGTCCCTCAAAATCTCCCACAGTTGGCAGGCAGCCGACCAATGACCCACCTTGTCTGCAATTTTGACAAAGAGGCTGAATCCCTCTGAGGACTTGAGGAGCAGCCGGGTGGCTATGTTCTGGCAGAAGTCCTTGGCTTTGGTGCTGGACTCCACTTCAAAGGCCTGGGGGGTGGGCTCACATGGCTCTTGCAGGCTTTTCCCCCAGGGCCCTGGTCCTCCCATGCCTCTCTGGCTATATGTCCTGGACACAGGCCCCTTCTAGTCAAGACACCCCTTCTCAGAAGAGGCTTCTCCATGGGTTGAGATGGGCACAGCGTTTTAAAAACCAAAAAAGCTTCTGCCTCAGTCCCTTTGGGCCTCATCCTTCTTGACCTTCCAAGCAGAACTTGCATTTGCCTTGACCTCCCAGTGCTGCACTGAGCCATACAAATATGAGTAATGGCAAAGGCCTCAGAAATGCAATGATGAGGAGAGAGACTTGAGGAAGAGGAAAAGCAAATTCCACAGGGGATGGGGAAAGCAGCCCAGATGGATGAGAGGATCTGAGAGTCTGGCAGGTGGAGTAGGGGGAGAGACAGTAAGGCAACACAACCTTTGGAAGATAGGACCAAGGTGGAAAGGACCTTACCACACAAGGTGAAAAGGAGGGAAGGGGATCAGGGTCCTGGCTGCAGGAAAGTGAGCTCAGGTAATAGGGGAATCCTGGAGCTGCAGACCAGCTGGCTTTGTTCCCAGGAACAGAGCTGGGATGAAGGAGGTGGCACCAGCAGAACCCAGCTCTGGCAGATACTCCTCAGAGAGAAGGAGGAAAGGAGGGAGGGAGGAAGGGCTGGAGAAAGCCTTCTGAGGGAAGCTGCTCTAGGAAGCAAGGGGTGGGGCCAGGGACTAGGGCATCTGTGCTCTTTCGACAGAGCCCTGACTGCAGGAAGGGGCGGGAGGATGAGGCAGCACTGTCAGGATGACATGTGAGGTGTCAGGGCCACCCTCTTTGTCTACCAAGGTAACCACCCCATCAGGGGCGTGAGACATGGGCACCAGGGCCCCTTACCTCATCCGTGTCATCAGGGAAGTAGACCTTGTGGAAAATCTGAGTGGTTTTGTGCTGGATAGCCTCCACCTCCACCAAGTGTGGAGGGTACTTCCGGGACCCGTTCCTGAAAATAGGGCAGGGAAGGGCGGGAGGAGACAGGTTCACAGAACCATGGGGACCAGGGAATAGAGGACACCAGAGACACACAACCCCCAGTCTGCTGACCACGCTTACTTTCTACAGTGGGACCAACCACTTCACCCCTCAGAGCCCGAGTTCCTGATTTTGGGAAAGAAGGATGTCAACAGCACCACCACAGAGGGCTATGGGGGAAGTGCCTGGAACCCAAAGTCTGGAGCACGGCCCAGTGTGCAGTGTGTGAGCCTCCCCAGCACAGAAGGAACCCAGAGGCAGGTCTCTGTGGCCATGCTGTCATCCCCAAAGGGTGTGTCCCACAGCCCGGTGTGGCCGCTGTACCTCAGGGCTTTCTGGAGCCGCTGCAGGCAGTCGATGGCCAGTGGGCAGTGCTTGCGGGACTGCAGGAAGCGCTGCACGTGAGGCAGCAGGATATTGCTGGGGGGGAAGAGGCCAGTGCACAGCCAGAGCAGCTCCCAGCCCCGCTCCTCGCTGTACCTGCAGAAGGTAGCACCACTGGTAATCAGGGGGACCTGCGCACCCTTATGCCACCCCCAGCTCTTCACCTCATCTGAGGACCAGCACGGACCCACACTCCTGGCAGGCAGATCCAATTAGCACTATGCAATGTGGTCACCCACCCATGCCAGGCCACACACTGTTCCCCTAAGTCGACGATAACACAGACAGGTGTTTATGCCAGGTTGGAAATTCAGTCACCTAGCCTTCCATCTGGGTCAGCTGAGATTTTTTGGGGGGGTCAAAGCAAGACCTTCCCGAGGGCCACCACCGTCACCTGTGATTTATATCCTGGCAGAGCTCACAAACTCACCTGCACGGGGAGTAGCACTGTACTGGGTCACCCCTCCCCCCAACTCCCACAGGCACCACCCAGGCTCCCTGGGGAGGCGGTGGCTTTGATCTAGGCTTTGAAGGATGAAGCAAACTCTGATGTGTACAGAAACAGATAAAAGGCTCTGGCCAAGAGCACAGCATGCACAAAGCCTTGACGGCCTGAAATGATCTGATGTGTGGTTCCAGGGTGGATGTGTGCACAAGGTCTGGATAAAAAGAGTGACAAGCTTGGGGAAGCAGGCGGGGGCTGGGGTAAGGGGAAAGGGTGCTTTCCATTGTCTCCTAGGTGACTTCCCACTCCCATCTCAAGCTTGCCCAGTAAGGGGGAGAAGATGACACCCTGTGTGTGTGGGGCCCAACACCTCCAACCCATGAGCATTTTCAGCAAGAGCTCTCCATGGGCAGCTGGCTCGCCTGAGCCAGGACTGGCTGGCCTCGCCTGGAAGTCCTAGGGCTGCAGGGTTGTGCAGAAGCAGCTTGAGCAGGCCACTAGGCGCAGCAGTGGGAGAAGCTGGGGTGTTACTCAGAGGGGTGTAGTGCTTGGTCTCTGACAGGTGGGCCTCAGGCCTTAGGACAAGTGAGGCCACGAGGCGTTAGAGCAGCTCCCACTTCCAGGCAGAGCATCTGCTGCCCCTGGAGGTTGTGACCCACCACCCCGCTTACCTGATGTGGTTGTCAGTCAGCTGCTTCAGGATCTGCACATAGGCCTCATCCTTGAGGGGCTCGGCCTTCAGGGCCCCCTCAAAGATCTGATCAGTGAGCTCGTTGATGGAGCGAACCCTCTTGGAGGGGTAGTCGCCCATGTACTTGAGCACGGGTGAGAAGGGTCAAGGAAGGATGTGTGGCCTATGGGAGAAAGGAGGCTACAGTCCCCCTGACCTTGGGCTTCAGGCTACTCAGTTACAAAGCAGGCATGATCTACTCACCTTCTCCTCCCTTGGCCACCTCCTCACAGGCCCCAGCCCCATGTCCCAAGCCCTCACAGCAGCCAGGACAGACTTTCCAGATCACCAGTCTAAGTGTGCCACCTCCTTCCCGAGGGGTCCTCCACAGCCCAAGCTACTTCACAGGGCTCAGGAGCCTTTCCTCACGCCACACCTGCTGTCCAGATGTGCTGAATTACTGTGTGCCCTCGCGGCGGCCCTGCCGTCTTGTCTCTCCCGCTGTGTGGGACACTCCCAGTCATTTCCCTGTGCCTGGCTTTCCGGTCAGCCTAGACACTGCTTCCCCCAGAAAGTTCTCCGTGCCCCCTTCAAGCTGGGTCAGCTCCCTGTGCTGTGCAGCCCCGTCACGGCAGTTTCGGGTCAGCCTGTTGCCCCTCAAGGCCAGGGGCTCGCTCTGCTTACAGTGTTCTCTCCATACCTGGCGCAGCACAGGGTACAATTCTTATTTGTTAACCAAATGGCAGGGTCACAGGAGGCAATGGCAAGACAGCCCTTTGCACAGTGTCCAGGACCCAGTCTGCCCCTCAGGAGGAAAGAAAGGTCTAGCCAAGGATACCAGAACCCTGTCTGCCCTGAGGTCCCCTGCTGGTGTGCCATCTTGCCCCCGCTGTACCCCCCTCCCACTGCTGGTATGGATATCAATGAAGGCCATGCAGGCCTCCTGTGACAGCTCCTCACTGCCCAGGATCTTCTTGAGCAGGGCTTGCTTAAGAGGCTCCCGCGTGTGGCTCCACAGCCTGTCCTTGCCTCGGGCCTTGGACACCATGACACGGCTCAGCGTGTGCTTGGGTGGGGGTCTGTCATGGCACAAGAACAGTCAGGCAAGGTAAGAAGACCTGCAGGTGATGAGATGCCCACCTTGCCCCTTGCCTGAAGCTGCTGAGGGCAGGAACAGGCTATGCTCTTTTCCACCCTGCCTTGCCACCATGGAAGCTGGTGCCACTTCCTCCAGAAAGCCGCTGCCCACCCCACCCTGGCATGCAGTGCTGCAGCCATTCTGCCCGTCTCTCCAGCAGGATTGAGGGTGCAGCAAGCCCCAGTGTAAATCAGGCACCCCAGGACCTGCCTGGGTAGGCCAGTTAACATCTCAAGGAGGAATGAGAAAGACCTTCAGAAAGACCAGCTCGGTGGACAGAAACTGCCCCCTGCTGCCTCCGTCCCCAAAGCCATCACCTGAAGTAGTCGTAGGAGAATTCCTCCAGCGTGTAGGGCTTGCTGCGCACCTCAGGCTCCACTGTGCGCAGCTGCAGAAGCCGGATTACATCCTGCCTCTGGTCCGGGGTCATGGTGACCAGAGCCTAGGAGCCGTGAGATGGGGCTCAGGCCAGCTCCCCACTTGGGACCACTGGGATCAACATGGTAAAGCTCGATGCCTCCCAAATTAGGGGTAGAAGAGGCCACTTCCCTGGGAGTGGACCCCATACCTCTTCTGCTCTGGGGAGCCCTTCTCCTCCCTAGGACTCTGCAGCCTCTGCTGCCTCATCGTGCTGGGCTCCCAGCTGTTGGGTCACCTGAGCCCGGCTCAGGAGCCACCTGAGCTGGGCTCTGGGGCTCCTTAGAGAGCCAGGCACACCTGCCCACTGTGCCCTCACTCCCTCTCAGCCAGACAGACCATACCCCTTGCCCCGGCCACTCTCCTCTCTTCCCCTCCCCTTGGCAGGTCGGCCTCTGATGTCATCTCTAGGCCCCAGCTACAAAACTGCGCTGGTGGCCCCCGGAATACCTTTACAGAAGCTGCAAGTCATTCCCCGAGTATAGTGCTCACTTCATGTTATAGATATGAGAAGACGATAGAAGAGACTAGAGGAGCCTCCCATGCCTCCCCACTGCCGGGCCACATACCACAATCTCTCGCGGTGGCATGGTGACAGTGGGCATGACGTACACACAGTCTGTGGGAAAGTCCCCGTGCTGCTTGGTCCTCTCATTGATGCCATTGGCCCAGCCTGAGTTCATGACCTGCTCGCCAGTGTCACGGTCCAGGATGATGAGGTCTCCCTTGGCGAAGCTGAGGAAGCCCGATTCCTCACCCGCTTCAGAGCAGAGGGCAGCAGGGGCACGTGCAGGCAGAGAGAGAGGCTGCGTCACACCTTCTTTGTTTGGGTTGCTGATCTGTAAGCCACTACTCTCCACTGAAGAGCAGGAGCCCTGTTTGCCTCGTGTCTGCTTATCTGTCATCCTGCCTCCACCCTGTCACGACGCTTCACACAGACAAAGCCACCATCTGTGGCTTCCCATGGCCCTTAGGAGAAAACCTACACTCCTGACCCTGTGTTGAGCTGGCCTCCCTGACTCCTCTCCTTCCACTTGCTTCATGCTCCTCCTCTCTCCTTCCAACCACTCCATTTAAACCAAATACAGGCCATTCCTGGACGCGCCGGCTTTCTCCGGCCTCTGTGCTTGGCTCGTGCTCTGCCTCTGCCTCATACACTCTGCTCTCACACTTCCTCCCTGGATCCCAGGCTGCCCGGAGCCTCCCCGCTGAGCTCCCACTGCCTCTAGGCTTCTCTGGTCACTGTCCTGACTCCCTCCCACTCTGGCTGGGCCTAGGGGGCCTGGGAGATGCTCAGTCAGCGCACTCGCGATGCTGCTGTCATTTGAAGGCAAGGGTTTTGGAAAACACTGAGAAAGACCTACGATCTGACTTGAGAAAGTGACAAAGATAGGTAACAAGGGCCCTCAGAGAGGGAGGAAGGTTCCCCACAGGGCACATGAAGGCAGAGTCATGCTGTCTCGCCCAGTGTCTGGGAAGGGCAGGTGATGAGGCACTAAGAGTCCTGAGTACCAGCCAAGGCCAAAGCCTATGGTCTGCCTGACGCCCCTGGCTACCCGTGCTGGCCACCACTCACCAGGGTTGGGGTTATCCTGCAGGGCCACCACATACTTAGACCTCTTCCGGAGTCCCTCCAGGAAGGTGACCACCAGGTCACGGATGTCCTCGGCATTGCTGGACGTGAAGGTGTACTCATCTCCCTTGATGGTGGCCAGTGTGAAGCTGGGGGCCGTCAGTTTTGCTCCCCTGCAGGACCAACATGGAGAACAGGGCCCGGCCGGGATCAGTCCTGCCCGGCCCGAGTGAGTCTCAGCACAGCCCAGATCAGAGCAGCCCAGCGAGAGTAAGACACGGCACTCCCTGAAGGATACCAAGGCCAGCCAAGTCAGCAGTCCAGCCATAGACGAGGTTCAATCAAAGCATAGCCTGGTCCAACCAGGGAGATGTGACCGGGTCAGATACGACTCAGTACCAGATAGACATAGCCCTTGCATCGGCCCAGACCACATCGCCTCTCCTCTCTGAGTCCTGCTCACTCTGCAAGTCTCAGCCTAGACGCCCGGTCCTCTGGGAAGTCCTCCCCAGCCTCCCCAGCCCTCATGACATTGTCCTTGTTTGATATCTGTCTCCTTGATTGGCTGAGCACCAAGAGGGCAAGTACTGTCTGTCACCGCTGCATCCTATGTGTCTGGTCAGAGCTGAACACAGCCCAACCCAAACCCCTGTCAGACACAGCCCAGAGACATTCCTACAAACCCCAGTGGGACACAGGGTTGCTGCACTCTCCAGGAACCTGTGCCCCCATCCTGTGTGTACTGTACTTTTCAGTTTCCAAAAAGCCCTCTTGCTATTTAGTCTTCGGTGTTTGTGCACTGTGACCCACATCAGCACCTGCACCCTGTCCTTCCCCAGTTATCTGTCTGTCCATGCTCCACCCCCTCCGCACCTGCTGCTGGACACAGCCATGATTTCCGGGAAGGACAACTCCAGGAGCACTTGCTCTTGCTCATCCACAAAGTAGACGCCCGTCCAGTTGACAGCCACAATGACATCATTCTTGGGAAGGCTGGGGCCTGCAACAATGACAGATGCACTTAGAGGGACACCCACTTTCTCCTGGGCCCAGCCTCTCAATCCTCATAACCATCAAGGGGGCAGCAAGGATGGGAATATACTGGCTCCAGTTTACAAACAGAAAAACTGAAACTCAGAAAGCAAGGCCACCCTACGATCCAACACCCTAACCCAGTGGGAAGAGAGGAAACTCGGTCCTACCCCTGCCACAGGTCCCGGTGCAGCTCTGGACAAGTCCCTGCCTTGCACCAACATGGGATATGTGGAGGGGTTGGAGAGCAGAACCCCAGTGTCTGATGACTGAGCACAGGCTGGCACAGAGCAGACGCCCAGTAACAACGGCCCAAGGCCAATGGGTGCTCCACATGTGTCCGTGTCGGCCACACTCGTCTCAGCTCCAGCAGAGCGCCCAGCGGAGCTGCGTGCACACTCTGGGTCGCCCTCCTTACAGCAGGTGCTTTAACCATTCTGATTTTTCTGCAGTTCAACTCGGTGTGCCATGAGCACCTCCTGTGTGCCCTGGAGTCACTACCGGACTGTGACTCTCGGCAATGTGACCTGAGAAGACCATGGCCCCTGGAGTCTGGCTGAACTCCCTGCTTCTCCCAGGGGGCCCATAGGGTGAGGGGCTGTAAGAACTCGAGGCTGGGGGTACCTGAGAATTTGTAGGCCTCATAAAACCTGGAGAAGAGCAAGGGCCACTTGAAACGAGCATAATTGACCACATCTTCTTTGACCTTCTGGGCGTCAGTTCTCCTCTGTGCGTAAATCCCCTGAGGGGACAGAGGGACAAAGCTCTAGAAATCAGATGTCTCTCCCTGCTTTAAATCAGGGGTGGCCCAGCGCTCCCGAAATGCGCTGGCCTCACGGCCTTGCCACTGTCACCACCCCATCCAGTCAACTTGAGGGAGCCTATGTGAGGCTCTGCCCTGCCTTGCAGGTCCCAAGGCACAAAGCTAGAGAAAACAAAGCTGCCACTCCCTGACCCCATTCAGGAGCTCAGAATTCAGCAGCAACTGGAAAACTAAGGAATCTAGTCAGTGCCCAGGATCCAGTGGAGGCTTGCACCGCTGCAGAAGAGATGTGGGTGTAGCATGGAGTGTAGGAATGGGGGTGGGGGTGGGGCACAAAGAAACTAGGCCCCAGGACTGCAGCACAGCTGCAAAAGGGGGCTTCTATAGAGACACCCAGGTAAATCTAGGTGTTAGAAGGAGCAGATCAGAGGAAGGACTGGATCCTGGAGCTAAGGTGAATAGTGAGGGGCAGTGCTCCTGGCAAGAAACAAGAGTTTCATTTCTCTAAATTATTCTCGCAAGCCCTAGTAAGAACTCTATGGAGCTGGAGTGGGATTGGAGGGATCAGAAGGAGCTTGTGGTTTTGGCAGGATGTAGACAGACACAGATGAGGAGAGCTCTGTGCCAGCTACACACTGCCCTATTTTCAGCATGGAGTGAGCCGAGACACCACTCTTTTCCTTTAAGTTGTGGCTTCCTAGCCAGGAACAGCCAGTGTTCAGGGTGAGGGGCTTGAACATGAGCTTGCCATCTTGCCAATCTAAACGCAGATGTTTGGGGGAAAATTTGCATGTATGTAGAGAGAAAATTATGAAGCAAGTGGGATGAATAAGGAGAATCCAGATGAAATGTATGTGGCAGTTCTGTTTTTGAACTTACAACTTCCCTGTAGATTTGAAATGATTTCAGAATAAATGTTTTAAACTGCACTGTGCCCCCTCCCCTTTATCTGGAGCCACGTTTGAACATAAAGTCTGTAAGAGGTAAAGTTAAAATGAACTCTTTAGGGTGGGTCCTAATCCAGTAGGTCTAGTGTACTAAGAAGAGGGAACTGGGGGTACACTGTAATCCCAGCTATTCGGGAGGCTAAGACAGGAAGATCACAAGTTTGAGGCCAGCCTGGGCAACTCAGGTTGTGTCAAAATAAAAAATAAAAAGGACGGAGGATGTAGCCTAGTAGAATGCTTGCCTAGCATGTGCAAGACCCTGGGTTCAAAACTCAGCAAAGAATGAAGAGGAGGAGGAGGTAAAGGAGGAGGCAGGGAGAAGGGGGAACAGGAGGAGGCAGGCTGGATGCAGACATGTGTAGGCATAGAGGAAAGACCACACGAAGATGGAGGGAGAAGAGAGCTATCAGCAAGCAAGGAGAGAGGCCTAAGAAGAAACCAACTTGATCTGGGATTCCCAGACCCCAGCACTGAGACACATACTTGTGCTGGTTCAGCCGTCCAGCCTGCGGTGCCTTACTAAGGCAGCCCACACATCTGCCCTCACCACAAGAGCCCAGGACACAAAGGCACACACCACTACCACCAAGGAGCTGTGGTCTAGAGGAGAGACACAGCTCAGCTGTGGGTTCCAAAATGACAGAAGCCATTTGTGTCCCATTCAGGACTGTGTCTCCAGGGCCTGGTCTGGTACCTGGCATCAAAATGAATACATGAACAATGGTACCCAACCCAGTACGGCCCACATGCACGTTCCACAAGCAGCACACCACGATTGTAATGAATTATGCGGCAGTTAGGGTGGAGTGTCAACTGGACTGGCTTTGAAATCTACGGGGGAGTGGTGGGTTATGAAGGTGTGGTCTCGGGAATCTGTGTCTGTTCCCTCTCCCTTTCCTCTCTGGTGCCGTTCCCCTGTTCTGGTTCTTGACCGCCATGAACTTATCAGCTTTCTGCCATGATGTTTCCACCTTGGAGCCAGCTGATCCCAGACTGAATCCCCTTAAAACATGAGGCAAATTAAATCTCTTTTCCTTTAAGTTGTGGGTATTAGGTATTGTGTCCTAGCAATAAGGAAGCTGACTAATACAAACCCCTAGGAAGGCAGACAGGTGGTGGATGAAGATGGAGGCTGTGGCTAATGGAAGACTTCAGCAGCTGGCCAGATGCAAAGGGGATGCAATGGCCAAAAAAAAA